AAAAAAAAAAAAAAAAAAAAAAAAAATAAAAAATAAAAAAGAAGAAGAAACGAAAAGAAGTAAAGAAAAAGGAGAGCAGCAGATTCCGACATCGTACATCGGAATTGTATCGGGAAGATTCCCGCGGCAGGTGAATTAATAGTTTATAAATACTCGGTAGGATGATTGCGAGCTTATGTGTATCAGACGGGGGAAGCTACTTCGTCTCGTCCACGTTTCTACCGTTATATTTATGCCGGCTGGAAACGTTGCTTTCCCACGCGAGGAGAATTACTCGCGTATCTCACGCACGCGCTTTTACAACAACGCGCTCGGCACTGATCGACGAAATATCAGATCGTAGCCGATAAAAATGTCCTGCCTTCGCGGTACGTATGTAGGTACGTTTGTTCTCTCGCGTAATGGAATTATCGTTCCGCAGGTACCGCGGCACGCGATACTTCGATTACGCCAAATGCTCCCTTTTGCGGCTGGTCGCTCGCAACCCTCGATCTCTACGCCATCCTTTCGCCCCCTTCCCCCCATTCCATTCTTGACGTTCGTCGTCGTTTCGATGCATATAATTCGTACTTGGACGTCTGTGTACGTGGGAACTTACAATGGCCAATTACGATCGACGCTTAAGCGAGATTAGCAACTGATACAAAAAAGATTAGAGGGGAATTCGCGCGTCGATTTACATTGTAAATTTCGCGCCGCGATCTACCGTTCTCGGTCGAGGACCTCGACCACTTCGAAAGGTAAATCGTTGCCGATTCACCCGGTCAAAGGAACGAATCGACGCGAAAGAAGAGAAGGTACGATAGCCAGGGACTCGTGAATAGAACGTCGCCAAGGAACTTGAATGACTCCACTATTCCGAGAAGGAATTCGTCGAAGGAAATCTTTCGACGCGAGACGATGTAGAAGCGCGTGCAAATAGCACCGAGTTCGAATGCACGAGACACGAGTATCGCCTGGAATGACGCTTTCTTCCATTTACATGCTACCGGTAGGGACATTTATAGATCCCAAGCGTTTAAGAAGGTGCGTTACCCTGACAATTCTGCTCTCGCGTCAGGCACACCAGCACAAATAATCGGCCACTTACCCAGAAAACGATCAAACATTACCCCTGATATAGATTATAGATACGCGGACTAATATTGATTAACTAAAATATCCAATTGTTCAACGATATATTCGCTCATCCCAACTAATTATTTAATCTCGTTTTATTATTTATAGATACTATCTCGGTATCGTATACCGATGATGAAATAGAAGAAAATGCAATAATTAAATGATTCTTGATTAGTTCTAGAAGCACGTGTATATAGGTAAGGTATTGATGCAGTTACGCAAAGCGTATATTTGATTCAAATGGAATAGTTTGTACTTCCTGATGTACGATGTCCGATGAATCGGTTTCTGCATTTCAATATAAATTTCACTTTAACACGACGATTCTATCATAACTGCGCCTAAATTGCCGACGATCACACACGCTAGGGAAATCAATTCGCAAAACGCAATGTTGTGGAATATGGAAATTTCACAAAGTCGAAAATCGAGTGAGAGTAAAGGAGAAGAGATGCAACGGCGAGAGAACGATAGATCTTTTGTCCGAAAGCAATTTGTTGTGAAAAATCTTGACGTACAATCCGAAAGCAAAACAGAAAACATA